TACTTTATAATACAGCTCCAGGTTAAAGATCATAAAATGTTATAAGACGACCATGTTTCTCTCGATGAACGCTTTCTCGGGCGCATTAATCTCTTGCCAAGATCCCACATTCCATACGTCATTGATACTCGACCCCTGCATTCCTAGTCTTTTTTGGTGGAGAAGATAGATGTAAAGTTGTCATTATCTCAATCCTCATTTGCTCGGTACAAGTTGTAACATGTTTGTTGGAAACAACCACAAAAGAAGTGAAGATTGATACATTTTACTGTCGGCGTTGGAATTAGATTCAGAATAAACATAGTGTGTTCAGAGACTGCCAGCGATCGTTAATTTTCTTTATGCGACTTCCACAGCACGAAAAATATCTTTGTCAATCACATTTCATGTTATTTTCTTTGACGTCAGCAATAAATTTTCTGATCATGTAAATACAGTCTTTAACTCTTTCGCCGTTCCCGATTTCACAACGCGCACAATTCGCTGAGTTAGCTTACATCTTCCTCTCTAGTGGACATTTCCTCACGAAGTGAATGATTCATTGAAGAATGCTAGACACCACTCTAACTTGAAAACATTACTTTTAAACAGCATTTTTGCAACGATTCAAAAGTGGCCGACGTTTTTATGCATCACTACGTTTTTTGGGGCTTTCATTACTTTCCAGGATTTTTTTCTAAAGACATTTTCCCCACTTGCTTCTTTACGGTTCTATGAAATTCTTACTGGTTTTAATATTTTTCTTAATGAATTCTGAATGATTATAAATACTAATTTTCTCTTTAGAAAACTTGCAGAAACATGCAGTTTCTAATGAATACTCTTTAACGAAGTATTAATATTTGTTGGATGAACGTAGAATAGTATGCATAAAGTTCTTCCTCGTTTACATTAATTCCGTTGAAATTATTTAATCAACAGCAGTGTTGAAAACCAATACTGTTCTTTGATTCAACTTCACCGTGAGCAAAGACAACCATCTAAAATCAATCTTTACAAAATACTTGCATCCGTCGAAAAGAGTTTGAAAAAAAAACTTGAAAGAATTCTAAAAATTAAATCACATTAATCAATTAGTTTGTTTCTTTCTTCACAAATGTCAGAACGATGTGTGAATGCTAAAATCTTAAAACTAACCATATTACTTTTAGTTCTGAATTCGAAATCTTAGACCTTACGAATTACTCATTAAATACTTTTAATTTCGTGCATCTTTGTACTTCCAGTGTCATTTGTTCGATCTGTATCATTTTTTTTACAATTTAGTCTATCCCAGTCCTCAAATTGATTTCCGAAGTTTCAATTTTGCTTGACGTACACAAGCCTACTTCTATAAATTATGCACGTAAACTATGTACTAATTTTAATCCTCCTTCATTAATAATGCACTCACTTTGTTAAGAATCTTCATGTCCAGAAAAATAATTCTCCGGTTATTGGATCCACAGACTTACGGAATTGATAAATTATTATTGATTCAATGGCGGTAAAATGGAAACTTGGTTCAATGAAATGCGCGTTTAAATCGTGCTCTTTACAACTTAGGAACAAACATTCAAAAGGTGACATATCCATTCAGAAAAAATTGCGTTCTTCTGTTTTTTACCTAATATTTTATTTCTAGAAAAAAACGAGAGATTTCTTACAATACATTAAGTAGTACTCTATGTGTTGAGTTAAAGACGACCATGAAAAGTGTAACATTTGTGCTATATTTTTAATTTTTATTGGAAAGGAGTGAAGTGGCCCTGTCACGTTTAGAATGGTCTTTCCTCAAGTCACATTAACGGTTGAATATCCTTACCAGAAAGATATATTTAAACGCAGAACTTTCGTACAACTTTAGAATGATTGAACCTATCCTAAGATTGGAACTGACCAATCGTAAGCATAAAACATAAAGTAAGCAAAATTATAGAAAAGACACTATACTAAAACATTTTAATTCCTTAGTTGGAGGTTCTGATTTACAAACCAGGGTCTTCCAGATTTTTTTTTTTTTACTCGAAGAAAGCGCACCGATGCACCCCAACGTGGTGTATTCACTTACATTAATTTGCCTTTGGTTACATCACAAATTCATTATTACTCTACTGAGAAAGCTACGAGAAAACGGCGGTATAATTTTGCGGAGAGAATAGATATCTCACAATGTTTATCTGTGCCAGCAAGAGGCGAAAAAGAAAATAATCATAACTTCTTTATGAATTGCGTTTCCCCCACATGAGAGGAGTTCCGACAGTTGCTAGGGTTCAGATTATTTCAAAAAGTTCTGAGGCTACAAAGTGGTGCACACCATCTAACGATATCTAACATAAAATAAACTTTAATACATGCTTTTGGTTGTTGAGGTTATCGAGCAGGTGAGAAATTGTTTAATATTTAATTTTGAAATTAAAGTTACGTAACTAATATTTCTTTTAAAACCCCATTTTCATTTTTGAAACGTGAGGTTTTGGAAGATATATTAAACAATTTTGAGGAGCCAGTTTCTTCGAAGTATTTAATTGTTTGAATTAGTTATATTCATATTTCGTGATTATTTTTATAACATTATTTCTTCCTCTTTTTTCTACTTAATCGTGTTCTTTCTTACATTTCCTTTCATCTTTCTTCTATTTTGTGTGTGTAATTTTAATAAGTAAATTTTGTGAAACATTTTCATCTTTCACATTGTTTTCTGAAACATAAAATTCTTTCGAGTCAATTCGTTAAAGCCATATTAATTTAATCGGTTGTGTATATTTTCTTTACGTCATCCAAAGTATGAAAATGTAAATCACGATACCGTACTGAGCTAGAAGCTGCATTTCAAGAATGCTCAAGATTTTAACAAATTTCGACATCTTCCATCTGGCTTTATCACGGCAAACAACATAATATCTAATCCGTATGTGAGCCCAACTGTCTTATTTTATTTAATGGTTATATATTAACAAACTGAATGAAACAATCATTCAATGTTGTGTGTTAACTGTGTTATGTTCCACATCATTGGTTAGCCTTCAGATATACAATTATAGAAATGCTGAACTGATTGGTCGGCACAGTTCGTTCAGATCCAGCATTCCTGTTGTCTCTTCAGCGATTTAGAAATATATGGGAATAAATGAAAAAAGGTAAGATGGAAAACGAATGAATAAGCAAAACTCTTTATGTAAACAACATATAAATGATTGAAAATAATAATTAAAAAATGAAGCCGACAAATATATATTTAACAAGTTGAAGAATGATGTTTAGAAATCCATGTATTTCGACAAACGAATCTGACGTATTTATATATGGTTAAACACCCAGTAAACATAAATGTGTAAAAAAAACAACAAAAAACTAGTTCTCCAACGAAGTTTTTATGCAACATGATGCCCTACAGACTTAAAATATTACACTACGCACGCGCTGTATTTTAAACGTCTCGAGAAGGCAACCAACCTCCCCCATCCCCTTTGGAGATCTCGTGATGTTTACACATAATTTGCCCCTCAACCAACCCCAAACCCGCGGCTCGCTCGCGTCCGCGCCCACCAGCCGCCCCGTATTTTCCCGACCCCATTTCCGAACGCACTCCCGCGGTGCAGATATGAGGAGCCTGATGAAAATAAACGTCCGTGTTTTCTGAGAACACACCCGTAAAGACCTTCCCTCAGGTGAGGCGGTGGCGGCAAAGGAGAAGGTGATCGAGCCATACAGTGGTCCGAAACGGACCAAAATGCTCACTCACTGGAAGGTATGGAAACAAAATTGATTAATTGTTGTTGTGATATTTACAGAGATTTTATATATTTGTGTATAATTCATAAATAATATATTATATCAATGAAATTAATTATTTTTTTCATTTAGAAGTCAGGGTTAGATTATGTCAAGTTACATAGCTATTTGGACGGAATGAGGTGGTTAATTACTTTTTTGTCAAGTATTTCATATTTTAATTTGCAAGAAAATAATACACATGTAATTTATTTACGTTATTCTAATTCGGAACAACAAAAATGTAAATTTTGACCCAAAATGTATTAATGTACTCGAAAAAAGAGAGACGGGGATAATATATAAAAAAACTTGTGCAATAAATCTGATTCAGTAAAAAGCAGAGTAAAAAAGGTTTGTTGTTCTTAGTTTTCGTAATCTCTTTACTGCTCTGAAAGTCCATTATTCGAAGCAATTTGAAAACAAATAACTAGCGGAATTTGCCAAAAGAAAGCAAACGAGTTTAATATTGTTCAATTTTTATAAAAATCGTTTGCCTATAAATTTACGAAAATGTGTGACGTATTTGCTTTACTATTTCTTTAAACACGATACACTTTTAAAGAAGGAAATTCCTTCATTTTTAGTCAGTTTTATTAGTTGGGTTTTCAACTTCATGTTCTCAATCGACCTCGAAGTCTGCTGACTAGTCGTGGTAAACACTCATTCACATCCAGCAGCCCATTCTGTTCAAATCTATCCGTCCACATGCACCCTCTGTCCCGCAGTACTTACATTTCCGGGGATGGGCGATATAAAATGATGATGATGATGACGATTGACATGGTAGCTCAAAATAAAGAGATTGTACTTGATGTAGCATAACAAAGCGTTGATACCCGGGGTTACTTGTCATTCATGCCATAATCACATCCACGCAGAATTCGAACACACACCCTTCAGTAGGGTGCAAATTGTCTTTTAGCGCCTTTATCTTTTCCCGTTTATATCATCCCAAGGAGAAAGCGATACCTTAGCTCCTAAACACTTCGAAGTTAAATGCTCTGATTTATGTAGACGCGTTACGCCTTCTTAACGGTCGTCTGAAGTGCTTTTCGGGGTTCGCGTAAACCTTCGCGCTCCGGGGGTGTCGTTGCGGCCCAGTGCGCCGCCTGCCCCGCGTTCGGGCGCTCTCCTCCGTCCGAATTTATGCCGTTGCTCGCCGGCTACCTGGCACTAAATTCGCCGGCAGACGTGCGTATGACTTGGGCCACTCGCTGAAAAGTTCGGCGGTGCGCCCGGGATTTATGGCGGGGTGCCGCACGACGCCGCGCCGCGCCGCGAGGAGAGAAGTTGCCGCGGAGTGGCGCCGGTGGCGAGGGGAGGGTGGTGATAGAGGTGGAGGTGACGATAAGGGCAGTGGTGGCTGCTGCGAAGGTGACAGGGACGAAGGCGGAGGAGACGGTGGAGGAGGGGGCGGTGGCATAGGCATTGGCAGTAGTGATGGCGGTGGCGGTGGCGGTTGCG